GGCGGATTCAAAGGGACAGCCCAAGGGACAGGCCGATCACTGGCCGGTGAGGAATCGAAAAATTCCGGCCGATTAAATTGCTTTTCAAAATGCTCAGCCAAACGTTTTGACAAGTTTTGGATAGGTTGTCCACTCTCATCACGTATGGTTTTACCAACTCTAGGTCACCTGCTGCCCATTTCCCGTATCAGACGGAATAACTTTCGATGGTTATCAAGGGCAGAGGCCACTTCCATCTCTGACGCATGAAGAGACTACCAGGATTCGCGGTCTCTCTTCAGGCTATCACGGACTTTTGCCCGGAGGTATTTGCGAATCGAATTGTGTGCGTTTCCAGCCAGAATGTGTCGCAGAGCATCGACAAGTTCCAGAGACTGCGAAGAGATCAAACGGACATGTTGGCCATTAGAGTTAACACATGAGGATTTGCCTGCTGCTAGTAAGGTCTGGTGAACATGTGACCAGTGACCTACAATTGTATTCACTGAGCGCTTACTTAACGCGCAAGTCTGCGTACTTTAATGTGCATTCGGAACTTTTGGCTTCGCCAGTTGGCTGGTGTCAATGCTTTCACAGGGTCGTCGTGGACGTCCGCCAAAAAGCAGCCGCAGATCAGCACATACAAGAGCGAGTCCACGCTCGCGCTCCTAATCGAGTGATAGTTTTGGACGCAGCCGCTCTGATGGTAACTGATGGCGACGTGATCGATTTGCGTCCATGGCTGGTGGGCGCCAAGTCACTCATCTGCGAGTGGTGTGTCGAAAATTAGTGCTCGCGAGAAATGGACAAGCATCTTCACACAAGTGTAGTAACCGCTCACCGGTATCATTACGGGAGCCTACACCATGTTGGCCGCCCAGATGAAGCTCACTACTGGACAATTTTCCGACTTAAGCGTTTAGATCACCAGCAAGCACCAAGGTATCCAGACTTTTCTGTAACGAAGGAACGCGTACAGTTGGTGATAGAATTCATCTTTCACCGAATCAGTGCTACGAATTGTGGGCGCGCAGGTCGTAATGACAGACAGGTACAGTTTGCCCCCACGCGAATGCGAAGCCTGGAACGAGCCAGCTACTCTAACGGCGCACTTCCGGCTGTGGACTGGGATCTAATCTATCAGGGCAGCCTCGGCCCGGGGACTCAAAACAATGCCGGCGCCAGCTTGACCTGCACTTGAACCTGCGTCATCTCCAGGTAGGCGCAATGATAATGCGCCGCCAGTGTCGCATGTCGGGGATCGCAGGGTAAGTACGGAGCTCGAATCTCGCAGGTGGATTTCCGATAAGCAACAAATGGCGATCGATAGGGTCTCTAGTGTTTGGGCAACTGTTGGCTGTCGGCCAGTCTGGAACAAAATGCGTACGTTGAGGCATGCTAGTCTTAGCGAGCATCGAGGACTCCAAAGAGAAGCGGATGAACTGACGTTTCTCTCTTGGTTGAACATTGACTTGTCGACTGGACTGCAGCGGTACCTTGCGCTTGCGTGTGAGATGAAATTATTAAACAAGTGACTATTGAAGTCGGGGGAGGGCCAAGAATTGGGAGACTGAAAGCAGGGGAAAAAGAGAAGTTGGAGCAGGACGAGAAGGGAGAATAAGTACGAGAAGAGGAATAAGAAGACGGGAAGGCTTGTGCAGCAGCACCCAAGTCCCTATCCACCCTGCTCGATGTAGCAGATAGAGCGCCATCGATTATCCTCTGCAACGACCAGAGCAGCAAGGGGTTGTTTAAAGGGAAAGTCGTAGAGTGATATTGCGTGGGCAAAATACTGTCAGGTTGCGCAGGCCTAGACAGGAGAACGATTAGGGTTCTCAATCAAAGCCTTTGGTTCAAAATCCTTATCGCAAGGCAGAGAAGTTTTAGAACTGAACTACACAGAGGCCGTGTTATGAAGTAACGAGTCACCCCCCTCACTCCAACCCCCAACCTGGAAGGAAAGGAGACTGAGTTTGTCTAGCATCTAATCATTAACCAATCTGGTATCAGTGGTTCTGAAGGTGCAAAAAGCACCATCCAGCACAGTTCAGTGGACCGCTGAGTCATCCAAACCACCTCACCATGCTAAGTTACAGTCTCGACGCGATGGATTTTATGAAAATTCATTCCTTTTGTCCACACAAAATGCAGAATGGGGGAACGGTACCAACATAGTGCGGCGGATCCACTGGCCACGACTCACGTCGCCAGAATAATAATAACTAACGACAGCACGAAAATGAGGTTGGATGGGAATAGAATGCAAAGAAAACGTAATGAAGTAGGAAAGGTGTTAAACTAATCGGGATGGAATGAAAACTAATAGTAAGATGGAATAAACTAAATACAGGAACACCACTGAATGCATGACTGCGCCATGGCGATAGTGCCTCCATCCACGGGTATGGGCTATCTCGGAGCCCAATCCCAGAAAACCAAACTTGGTGTAGCCACTGCGTATAATGCACGTCGAGGAAGCCGATCAACGGGCATACGGAGGACACACAGTAGCCAACGTAAGCGGTTAAGATTCAACAAACACTCAAGTGAGGCACCAGGGAGTTCCTTACCAAAAAGCAGCTAGTGGACATCAAGAGTGTTCACCCGTATTGCCACCGGATACAAGCGGCGCTCCGCAAGCACCAGTGGTCGAACATGGCCAAGCGTTTCATGTCGTCACTGCGAACTCGCTACGTGAGAGCGTTCCCCTGTTTTCCGAGCCGGGCATTTCTGTTGCAAACATTTCGTCATCAGGCTAGGCAACATCCTTAGTGCGGCTGATTATCGCAAACAGTGTTTGAGATAGTGAATCAGGACTTAATAGCCGCACTAAGGATGTTCCCTAGCTTGGTGACGAAACGTCTGCAACAGAAATGCCCGGCATGGAGAACAAAACAACCCTCTCATCCACACCCCGAGCTACAGATATTCTCAATAAATTCCAAACTGGCCACATCTCTGATTCGTACAGTAACACCGGCCTTATCGCAGCGTTATAAATCCTATATTTCATTGACAGGCTGATATCCAACCGCCGCCACAGACGACAGACCTCTGAAAAGCCACATGGGATTTCGTGATATGTGAAGTTTCCTTCTCAGAGATGTGACGATCAGTTGTGACACAACTTCCTAGGTACATGAACCAATTCACCACTTCCTATGGCTGCTCCGTCATAGGAGGGACTGGCGGCGTAACAACCGGGCTCTGTAACAGTACCTTAGACTTTTGAGGTGCAAACCACATACCAAAGCATGTAGCGCTACGGGTCAGTCTATTCAGTAGTACTTGCATAGCCACGGCGCCAAATCCAAGGACACTTATGTCGTCCGCATACTCAAGGATTGCCAGTCGGTAGCCTGACCGGAAACGAAAAGAAGATATGCAACAACCATCGCGAATCCAAGTTATCTTGGGGAACTCAGGAGACAGCCTCCTGTAGATACTTACCCTGCTTCGGGAATCGCGGTAGAGATGGCAGAATGTAATGAAGTTGTCCTGGCATTCCCTTCACTGAGTTCTAGTTCCACAAGTTATCTGGATTGTCAGAATTAAAGGTGGCTTTCAAATCGAGAAAAACCACCATAGTCGCTCGTCTGTAAGCATGTATCTGCAGTAACATTTGACGAAGATTAAATTTCTGGTGGATACAACCACGACCAAGGCAAAAACCAGTCTAGGTTTCGATGCCCCGAGTCTTTCGAGGACTAGTAAGTCGTCCGATAATGATGCTGGTGAGAGATTTGGATGCAACGGAAATAAAAGTAATGCCTCGACGATTTTCGCAAAGTCAGTTGACCTTTTGGAAGCTGAGCACCACAGTTCACAATCGCCAGTCTACAAGGCACGTCTTCGGTGTCCTAAATCGTGTTCATGCAACAGAATCATCCCCATTTTTCAGGGAGGATGGAAGAAGGTCATCCGATCTAGGATCATTGTTTTGTCTATGCAAAGCGGGACCATGTCGAATTTTTTCAAGGTGGGAGGTGTGACCAAGTTTCTAGGTTTGTTCAGTTACTTCAGCAAACGGCAGTTTTGCATCGCGCATGCTGAACTGCTCTTCAAAACGTTCCGCCAAACAAGCTAGTCGACAAGGATGAGAATGAAGCAACTGTCCATAATTCCCAGCTATTGTCTCACTAACTGATGACTCTATTGGACCCGCATTCGGGATGAATTGGGACAGTACTCCGCTGTTCCCAATAGCAGTGGCTTTCTCCATCTCACAAGCCTTTGCCACCCGTCAAGATTCCAGGTCAAATGGAACGGGACTAGTTGTCGATCGTCGTTTCAGGAAGTAACGGAAAGGTTGAAACCCATGTGCCCAGTGGAACCTATTTCCGCAATTAAGTCGTCTCAAGTTTGGCATACAGTACGCGTCAACAACATAGTTCTTGACACATTTGGGACGATTTCAGCCAACGTTATGCTCGGCAACATTATTCATCATTGACAATTGGTGGGTCAGTTCGTCATAATATTGTTGAACTGTGGACCACGAGTCCAAGCTACGAGTGAAAAGGTTAGAAGTTATCCGCTTCGTGGAAGGAAGGAAGAATGAGTGCAAGGTAAGCGCGCACTAGAGCATGGTCAAAAGGCAGGCACGTACTCCAAACTAATCGACAGTGTTGGACTGATGTGCGCCATTTATTGCTGATGATGATACGATGAATTCGGATTCAGGTCATGGAGGAATTCGGTGGGCACCAGGTGACATGATATGAACATTTGTGATGCGGTTAATGGTGAGGTTGTAGTTGGTGCACAGGTGCAAGAATCGATAGACCTCGCCTACTCGACGGGCATCGATCAAAATCGGCCTCCGAGGTGTTAATCAGAGTCTGAATCCATTCTTCGATTATATAAAACAGGAGGAAATAGGAGAGCAACATTTTTCGCTAACTACATGTGGGTGACATTGGCTCAAGCCACTAATAAGCTTGTAGATTAGGAAAATGAGAAAAGATGTGAGAAAGATGTGATAAACGGCTTTTACGTCGTAAAATTCGGGAGCCACTTACTTCAGCTGATGCAAACATTCCGATCTTTGTCTAAGCAAATTCTGAACAACTTCATCGTGTAGCCACTGTGGATTCACCGGGTCAGTAACGGCCGCCTGTTGCAAATACTGGGCGATGCGAGATCCCATGCGTGTGGCATGGGGGCCAGGTGTGCTTGCTTTTGGCTCGTTACAAACTTCCCGATCAGATGAGTGGTCCGCACACGGTGCACCTGAAGCAGGAACGGCACGCGCTAGAGTAAAGAGTAAACGGAAAATTAGGAAGATGAAAACTACCACAGTATAATATGCTTGAATCTAGTTTCTACGGTTTCTCCCAAAAAGGATTAAACGACGGTTTCTCCGTTCATAATATGAACCAAAACTTCAAATTAAACGCAAACACACCACCTTGCAGATCCGCGGAGAGATAACGTACTCCACCATAAACAGACTTAGGTAGTTCGCTGGTTACCAGTGATACGTTGTGAATTATGGACCACATAACTCGAACATTGAGGATCTCTGACAATCAAGTGTTTTTCAGAGAGCACAAGAGTGATTTCAAAGTTTGAAGCGTTATGTGCTATGGAACATTGACAGATACCGGTTGAAATTAGGCGGTGAGTAGTGGCGGGAATAGGAATCAGGAAGACGAAGATTTTGATCAAGCTCAGCCGTAACAGTGAGGTCGAGCAGACAAGCATAAGTGAGACGTAGCAAGAGGCAACTCGTTTAGATGCGTCCCTCCCCAATCACTGTAGTTTTCCACATCAGGAGCAACAATGCGCAGGTAGCATGCACTGATGCTTCGCTGACATATGAAGTGAGATGTCCGTACCAGAGAGGGATGAGCAAAGGTGTAGAGGGAAGACCTAAGCATGATGCTCAAATAACATCATAAAGGAACATTTGAGGTCCAAACGCCCACACCTTGTAAATAGCTTATGACCACAAAGATCTATCGTAAGAAAATAACCACGTGTCGGTAAGACTACTTCATTGTTCCTTGCATCACCACGGAACATAAACATGCAAATTCCACAAATAACTCGGTATAACGGCTATTCAGGAGGCAAACTGACATCGTCAGTGAAACGGACCAGTATCCTCAGCCGTACGAATTCCGAGGAGACCATACTCTGTGTAGAGGCTGAGTGAAAAACTGCCACCCCACACGATGAACATGTCATGATCTATTCATTGAACATCCATACTGGACTTGAGATGACACTTCAGTCTACAACGGTCATTACACTCTCTGATTAACATTTTGTCGCTATGATTAGCACTACACGAGAAAATTCTACCCCAACTATGTGATGATTCACTCAACCTGACGAAGCATGCGCATTAAAGATGAGTCGTTGACTGAAGATATGCTAACCGAGAATATACCTTTCACAACAAGCACACCCATATTGCTGATGACGCGTTGATGTACAGAGAGAATATGAATGAAAATGACCGGAACTTCACGGCATTGCTGAAGCGATAAACTTTCCGTGGAATTCGTTTAGCAAGAAGCGAAGTAGTGTTCTTAGTGTAAAAGGTCGCATGTCCCGACCACATGCTCGCATCCGACAAAATTAGGATGAGTCAAGTAAAGAAGGTAGTGGGTTGTGAAGCAAACTGCATAGGGGCGCGGAAGTCGATGCCATCGGGATAAACGATCTGCCCAACAAAAGTGAGGTAGCAAGAACAAAACACCACACTAACAAACAAAGAACCAGTCAACATTCTTTATAGTGCAAGACTGTACGGTAACACAAATAATATGGAGTTCATCGTAATGTGACCTAAAGTTGTCATGCAATTAGCGGAGCTGCGTTGATGGGGGACTACGGTTTCCGCGTCCAATCGAGTCGATTCAATTCGTGTCCGATTGACTATCACGTTCTAGTTGAGAACATCCGTCGATCCCAGCTGGCCAGTATCATCATACGTAGATATATACATAGTGACTTAAAGCAGCCGAACAAGGAATAGAAACAAGCAAATAGTTGCGGATAGGCATGTGTACTATGAAACAGTGCAAGGTTTAGATGAAGTCAGCGACATGATACTGAAGACAGAGGAAGCACATTGCATGTGCGAACCCGAAGTAGGTTGTAATTGGAAAAAATGAAAAGTAAACGAACGTAAAGACGTGGAGGAGAACGTCGACACCCTACGAGATTGGGTCACATAGATTGGTCGATTAAACAAGTGGCACGAAAATAGGCATTTAGCTTTGAAGGTGTTTATCCACGGTTGGATGCATAGGTCAAGGTAGCGGTGGGCAACACAACCGCGGGCGAATTAAACACAATTCAGTTCATTAGTGCAGCAGAGAATAAGTTCGGAAGAAATGCCACATGTGCGTAAGTAAGGGGCCAAAGAAGAAAAAGCGGTATGGAGTGACGAAGGTATTTTCAAAATCTTTTGTGTTCACATTGGGAGACGTTCACCATATCAACACATGTAAAGTGACCGGGAGCCAAGATTCGAGACCTGCATTAAGTCAGGGTAACGGTGAAGGACAGTCTAATAGGTAGACATCTATTCTACGTTGGGATTTTGGTTTTCCGTTTGGTCTTAATGGAAATCGATCTGGTTCCAAGCAAGTCCTCAATGCCAGCTAAAAGCGCTTTATAGTCGCAGCTACCGAAACCGTGCAAGTAGTCTGGAATTAAGGTCAATTCGTAGCGCAACTCAAATCGGGTACAGCAAGGTTAAATGTAGAAAATCTTAGAAACGCTTTAAAAAAGGTGTGTGAGCTGCGTGACGGATATGAAATTTCTGGAGATAATTGGATGCTTCCGTTGAAAGTCATTGATTTAAATCACTCCTTGAACTGGCGGGTTTTTCTTAGAAACTGATTTCTCTCTGACATTCTGACAACTACTTGATGCCAACAGGGCCCCTGGTTTGTACTAACGTGTGCCATACCAGTTGTAGAACGCGTTTCTTAAGAGAAACCTTGCCCCTACAACGTCTGCGACTAGCATCACACAAACGAACACTGAAGCCGCTTAGTCGTAGTTGGAACATATGTGAAGTAAGGTATGAGTTGTTGGTGTGTTAAATTAATTCAAAGAGATCCTGGTAGTAAACTCGATGTGTGGATGATGCAGTTGCTGGACCAGGTGGTATCAGTAGAACTAGTGTGGGTGAAACAGCATTACCGATAGCAAGTGATCCGGATACTGAGGAAGATTCGTGGCAGTGTTGTGCATTTCACAGACGTGTAAACCGTCGCGTTTTCTCAGGCAGCGAGTAAAAATGTAGGTTTAGCACGCTAATATATCATAGAAGCACATCAGTACAGGAGCTCCGTTGGATCTTTACGGGTCCACAGCTGATAGTCAGATATGAGGCTGAACCACAAGTGGTATCTGGTGGGGCTGGGTTGTCATTTGTATTTTACAAATCGGTGGAGGTGGAGTAATAGGCAATAAGTCACGTGAAGATGATGCTCAGTTTGCAGGAACGATTAACGTGAGTAGGACCTGATGGGTAGTTTGGTTAGAGGAGCTGTGCTGAATAAGCTAGAGTGTTGTTTAAAGCGATGTTTTTTACTGTACCATTCCGACATAGTTGATGGAGGTAAAGCACGTGGGGCCAAACACGTCACGCAGTTGTGACACTGACTGTGATAGTTACGGCGAATGAGGTCTTCGTGTTATGAAAAACCCCGATTAGTCAGTGACTGTATCTAGGCAATTGCCGCAGCATTCAAGATGAAACCTGAAATCGACCTGCGTAAAAAGTGATGGTGATCCCGTGATCCAGTTCAATGAACAGTAAGTGCAGTGTTTCACAAGTGACAAGGAGATTGTAGCAGAATGCACATAACTTCCGCTACCGTCTAGATCAGTGCCATTTCTTGGTGAACAACCATCAAGAGCGTGGCATCATCGATCGCAATACGGAGTAGAAACATCACTTAATCCAACTGAATGGAACCTGGGCACATAGCGCGACGAAGTGTGCCGAATGCGGTTACCCCATGGGCTAACCTATTGGTGTGTGCCCACTTACACGCGATAGATGTAAGTAGACAAAATCAGCTGCGACCGTACATGTCTCAAATTGGCCCCCGAATTGAGACTACCGGCGAGCACACGACACGCAGCTGTCTTCAGGTGTGCAACGTGGATGCTTTTTTGCAGAAGAATAGCTGTTCAATTCCATTCATCTCAGGGTTCCCGTGGTTCAGATGTGCGTCCCGTACCCGTTTCAGCGTATCCAGTGGTTGCTGCCTTTGGACATGGTTGGCGGCATCCGGTTTCGGATTTGCCTGTCACTGTGGCCAGCCACAGGACACCTGCGCCTACAGAGGGACCATGGATGGCTTGCGCTGCACCACCCACAGCTCCAACCACACACCCCATATCCAGTGTAAACCCGAAGGAATAAGACCGGGAGGCATGCGGATGGGAACCACGTTTCATCAACGGAGCCGGCCCACACTCCTTCACATGCAAACACAAGCACGCTCTATTTGGGAATAAACCGCACACAAGGCGGTGGTTGGACCGTAGTCCGCTCCACACTGAGTGCATGGAACCACTCTTCGAGCCTAGCACGGCCACAAGGACCGTGCACCCCGTCCCCTCCAGCAACGACCAACTGTCTCCTGGAGCCAGTATGGACGAGGTAGTGGGTAATAGACAGGTAGGCACCTTGTCAACATGCACATCAAGCGCAGCCACACCGGGGATATCAAACAACAGCCAATCACTTGAGAGAGAGAGAGAAAGAAAAAAAGAGAAAAACTCGATTAATGCATAAGGAAACGGTGACATAAACCTTAATTTAATGAGCATATGTAATAAGTTGTTAACAAACAAATCCTAGATAAGTGCACGGGGTCAGAAAGTATAGTTCACGGAATGCCACGAACACAAATATGCTACGAAAATCGAATACAATTGGTTTAAGCGAGGTGTGCAAGTTAATGGAATAGAGTACACGTAGATATTTATACGAGAAAGAAAAGCATTAAGGCAAAATTGAAAACCCACCACCTGAAATAAAGAGACTTAGCATGCAAGCACGCGTGCCTACAACGCTGCGCCGGCTCGGCGTAGATAAGCCCACATCTTCGGTGTGCAAACGATCTGTGCAGATGTAAGAGACTGCACCAGATCGCGACAAAAGAATTCGCTGCAACGTGTGTTTATATGTAATGCAATCTAGGTGCGTCTAATACCCTTAGACTGATGCGAGTCAGAAGATCGGAGAATAGAGCGTAGGTATTTGGCGTAACTGACGCTGATGACGACCGGGAATAAATACCGATTAGCTGAATCACATTATAGAGTAACTCGATTACATTATAATCCTTTTTGAGTGTGGAACAATGAGACAAATCACACCACAGATGCAAACTGCAGTCGTCATGTGTTCTGTATCCGGACCGAATGCAATTAAGTAAAGAAGGAAAAGAAGGATGGATTTTCAAGTCGTAAAAGCAAGAGACTAGAAGTGAGTGTAGGTCTAGCGATGCTGACACATATCTTAGGTGACAATCGGTGTTCACAAGCACATGAAGAGTCAGGCTGTGTTGACACATTTGTAGCCTACCTATGTTTGTAGATTCATTTGCGTTGTTCGTTTGCAGAAAGCATTCCACAATCTCAGGGTCCGCTGTTTGAACCGTCGCATCACGTCGTGACACGGTGGTATGCAGTGACCCCACACCATCTGCTAGATGGGACGGGGATGGAGACGGCGGCCACGACCAGGTGTCAGCATCAGTGTAGTGGTCAGATCCACTATGGTCGGGTAACGGAGGAAACAGTGAACGACGCTGGAACGCCGGCTTGGCCTGAGGGAGACAGACACACAGGAAGTAAATGGCAATAGTGGACGCATTCCCTTGCGGTTAGCGAACGAAGCGAAACGGAAGTGGATGCTAGCCGTATCATAACGTATGATGCTAATTTGCAGCGTATCAAGAAGGCTGAGTGCAGAGTAATTTTAAAGTACACGTTGTGTAAGTGGATTGCGACGCGCAATCTCAATGTGGACTGCGATTTCCATTGAAGTGAACCTTGGTGATTCGATCATTAGCATCGTAGCTGAGTCAGATTGGAATTGGGTGTTGCTCGCCCGAGATAGAGTGTAGTGTTTTCGGGCAGGCAACACCTAATTCCCATCTGAAGAAAACTGGTACTCGTGAACGGCGACATTTCAAAACTGCAAAGTAGTAGGAACGAATGCCAAGATGGAAGGCCGTCAATGCAAACGTCTAGATTAGTTCGAAGAACGGCGATTAGTTGGATGGAATGAAGGAGGATCTGAGTAAGGCTATTCGCCTATGTGAATGTTAGCAACTGCGATCGCATTTTACCTCAATTCTAGTACTACTAACCTGTATTAAAAGATCGGCAGCAGTTAGGTTAAGTAAATGACAGTGATTGACCGAAACGGGGATGACACCAGCCATTTGGTGACAGCTAGCGGATAAGGAAAACTCAGTCTGTAAACTATAGCTAAAACATTGAATGACGGCAGACAGGGGAAACTGGGGTCTTACCTGGCCGACAGGCGAAACGGGACTCGGCGGTTGCTGTTGCCTACCGCAAACAACGGGGGTCTGTACCTCGACATCCCGCAAACAAGGAGAAGCCATGGTCCGCACAGAACGTTGCTCCAATTTGAGTGTAGGTAAACGGGAGTCCGTAGAAAAAGCAGCCGGGTCATCCGTCATCACACTAGAGTCCCGTAGAGTGCTTTAAGAAGAAATGTGAGAATAAAATCAAGTGGTCAAAGGCATTCAAGCAAAGCAATGCGACAGAGTAGCTCATGTTGGTAGATGAAGTTGGCAGGGCCACCTTCGGTAAAACAGCATTTTCAGCAGCTCCAATGAACGACGGTGGAATCGGCAGAAATGATCCATCAGAGTAAATTCATGAAAGCAAGCATACGCGTGCGAGGGCAGCAAAATAGAGGCGTTCAACAATGTGCCGTATACCCTTATGCAGTGCATGCGGCTACCGTGGTAGTCAAGGTGTGTTGAGCAAAAAAAAACAAGATAAAAGACGCAGCAATAAGTGAACTGAAGAGTGAAAAGCCAGGCGTGAGTGAATGCAACAGCCCGCTGACTCTGAACTATCTGGCAAGGTTGTCAGTCGAAATGAGTTTGTTTGCCGCATCATGTCTTCATTGCTGAGATAGGAATTATTTGCCAGCTGAAGCAAACAGAGGACTCAACCGTACATAAGTAACAAATGAGTTTATTGATTTCTGTGAGAAGAATCCTAGGACAATCAACATTATACGATAATTATAAAATGGTATAACTCGGGAGGAAAACTCAAAGCTCCACCTAACTGTTCTTCGATGAAACCACAATAACAGCAGCGGAACATCTCGAGGGTGCCGGGTTGCAAACCAGAACAATGCGTGCGTGTACTGTGAGATTTCAGTGGAAGCTGACGCAGTGTTCCACATACGTTTAACTCGCTGCCTAATGACAAGAAATGATCTATCAATGGATTGTGGCATATTGTAGTAAATCAGTAAGAGAGTAAGGAGACAAAGCTAAGCAGCTAAATCAGCCACGGGAATTGTCGTGTGGCTTTCGGAAGAACTTGCATGACATCCCATGTTAAAAGTACACCCAAGAAGGATGTATTCCAAAGTCGAGATCCAAACTTACCCATCTACGTGGGATATGTGATGCTGGGATCAAAGCCCATTAACTGGACGGAAAACAAAAGACTCCAGTGGTGCGCATCAGGAAGCGGGATTAGTGGTAACTCAGGGCGTTAAGTTACCAGTCACAAGTAAAGCGTCTAAATCCGGTCAAATGTGTGCAGTCAGGGACAGGTTTATTTCGATCAATTTCACTGACACTGGTTCGCCAAAACTGCTCACCATTGTGTTTTAACACACATCAATGGGTGTGATCTGTTGCACATTAATCTCGGACACGCTATAGTGGTATTTTTGGCTAGTTTTTACGCCAGACTGCAGCCATATACTAGAGGGGTGAGTACAAAAGCGGTGATTTTCTGTTATTTTGCTCGTAATTGCGATGTTTTACAGAGGACCTGTGTTGGGTGGGTAACAACAGCATATAGTACCAGATGGTCAAGATGGTCTTGAGTACGCTTTGGACGGGAATGCTTAAGAGATAGAAACAAGATTCGTGCACAAGGCACATATCAAGGACCTACCGTGGCGTACTCGAAGGGCATAAAACCGGTTAGACATGCTGTGGATCCCAAAAGTCGAATAGCTGGTTGGGTTCATCAGATACGCCGGCGTACAATAACTAGACGAAAAGCCACACTAGTTATACGTATTCGTCGTACCTTGTTGGTAAGTGACCGTGCAGATCCGGATCATTTGTTTGGGTAGATGCAGTGAGGGCAGTCCGTTTCGGCACCGAGGCACACTGAGTAGCTTTGTTGGCCTTAAAACTCTCGACGGTATGACCTCCAAACGTGTGCGGCTCTGCCCTACAGCTAACGTCTCTGGAAACGTGGGTCTGTTCAAAAACCGATTGTGGTGTTCCACCAGGTCGGGTTTGGTACGCCCAGAATGGAGCACACGGCTGAGGAACAAGCCACGGATGATGGGAAAGACAATGACCAAAAGTAAGTCCAGTAAACCGAGCAGTCTCCATTTTGCGCCTGAGACGCCACTGAGCAAGAATATCATCTGATGCTCCCGAACTGGAAATCGGAGTACACACTTGGGTGAAAAGGGTTGGAGGAGGATTTTTTTGAAAACCAAAAGACTGGGTGCTTACTGGCATCCGAGTGCCAGTTGGGTTGTAAGGTGGCTGAGAGCAAACCGGATCGAAAGGAATGGCATCTTGGATCCATCTGTAACATGAAGTTGGAGAGTATTATACAATAGCAAAGTTGATTGTAAACTGTGATAATTGTTCGATGTATCGCGGAAACTATAGTTTAACTATGGGATGGATGGTCATAGATAAGACCACAGCAACGGATCCTGTGGTGCCTAAAACGGTTGTGGTGAAAAACTTGGAAGGAAAAATGAAGCAAATTATACGTGTGTTGTGTCGGGCTTCGCGACTGCTTTCAGTCACTAAAGGTAGTGAGAACACGAGATGAGCCGCAATCGGAGTATATGTGTCCTAAGAGGCAATTTCGTTTTATAGGATGTAAAGTATAAGAGCACGATACAAATCAATAGAATCAAACGTGCTTACATCTTGAGAAGAACTTAACTAGTAAACCTATGTAAGCCTGCACTGAATCTCAGGTTGGGTTCAGTTCAAATGCGGTTGATTTGGCCCATTTGGTTAAAGCATCTTGCCTCGACGTTCGATCAATCAGGTTTGCTTGATTCGTTGCTCTAACAATGTGCATTGCATTGTACATAGAGAACTAAAATAAACGCAGAACGATGTTTCTATCGTTAGGTCCAACCCTGAGGTTACGCAAGTGCTACGGGACAAACCGAGGCATAGTGCAACACGCTTTGGTAGGCGTTTCGTACCATCAAAATAGTAGGCCGACATACCATTGGCTAGTTATCATTGAACCGCCACCCGCGTCGGTTGATCGGTTCACTCATTCTGGCAGTCACATCAATGAGGGCACCCAAAAGATAAACATAGACAAGGCTCGTGTGGCTCCCTACGGTTCAAATCATCTGTGAAGACGGAAGAATATCAGCATGCCATTTAAAGATAGAGTACAACGCCGCGATGTTTAGAAAACTATCCTCTAGTGTCTCCGTGAAATGTATACAAAACCTGAAAACTTACATTGCATATGTCTCCTCTTCCGTATGCCGGTTGATCGCCCTTCGTTAGTACATCATATGCTGTCGCTACGCATATAGTCCAGGCTGCTATGGCGACCAGCCAAAAACATCCCCAACAGTTTCTCCTATGAAGAATATCCCTATGCACGGGCCTGTCTATGGCGACCACCACTCCCTTGAGTGGTGGCTTTAGACAGGTTTGACTGTAGTTGTGCAAAACCGAAACTTGGAGAGATGAACAAATTGATCGGGAGACTTGGTCAAACCTCGCTTGGACGGTGACCAAGTTCGGACTCACCATCAACACAAGCAAGATTGCTTGTCTTTTTCAGTCGTCGCCAGAGAAAGAATCCGTCGGTTGTCGGCAAATCCGCATTGCTAGTGAAGTTTTGAAAACCTCAACGAAATTGTTCTACCTCGGGAGCACGCTACCAACAGCGGGCTGCACATCAATATATCGAAGGCATGTGCAGCTTTCGGGAAGCTGGAACATGGGGTATGTAGAAACCATCAGCTGACGGTACATAAATGAATGGTGAGGTCGGTTCTTCTCAACGGCAACCAAACATGGACACTTTACAAAAGGGACATTCGCTGTATGGAACAATTTCGTCATGAATGCCTGCGTCGGATACCGCGCATCCGTTGGTGTGACAGAATTTCTGATCCAGAGTGCTTCGCTGGAGCGACGCGTACTGCGTAGATGGCAGGGCCCCGCTACTGCGACACCTGAAGTGGCTCGAACATGTCGGTCACGTCGATGCGCGTTAGGGATACCGAAATGGATGATGTATGGCCAAGTGCGAACAGGGAAGCAGGATGTTGGTAAGTTGAAGTTGCACTAAAAGGACATGATCAAGGTGAGCTCATCACGAAGTGATGTTTGCTACAGGTGTTGGGAAGCAATGGCAGTGGATCGCTACCAATGGCAAAATCAAATCAAGTATGCTGTTTCCCATTTGCATCAGAAAGCACTGATGCATCAAGAATCAAACGTCTGTTGCCCAAGTGGAAGGATCCGATGAAGCACATTCCATTGACAAGTGCCATATCATTGCTGTTGTGGGTTTGCAAGTGTGTCTGTTTGTCTATTTTCTCGCATTATAGGTGTTTGATGACTGATATTTTCGGTCTGAATGCGCTCTACGTGAATGTTTGCACCCCGATTCTTGGCTCTAGGAGGATGTTGATCGCTGCTAAGGAAGACAGGGTGCATAGCTCGTGACGGCGATAGGCCTTAAGGAGTGATTCCATCTAGTGTGGAAGTGACTGAAGCCCTGTGTACGTCTGGTATGCATGTCTGCCATTGTTCAAGTGAATGATGTGCATGCTGGCGAAGTGTATCGGACCCACTCACATCCACATGCCTCCCAATCTTCCTCCTTCGGGATTACACTGAATATGGGGTGTGTGGATGGAGCTGTGGGTGACGCAGCGCAAGCCGTCCTCAGTAGACGCAGGGATCTTGTGGCTGTTTGTAGTCTAAGTGACAAGCAAATCCGGAAACCAATGTCGTGCACTAGATATATTTGCAGGTCTAATGAATAGACATGTGGCTATCAAATGCTCAGGCGAAACAGGATAAAGCAATAAAGGAAACGGAGCACAACCTCGAACAGTAGGCGTGAAACTACTCGGCTGGAGAATTGACTAAGCAGATACCACCCCGAGCCTTTAGTCGCATGGCCTAACAAGAATATAACGAAGCAAGGTCATGGAAAACGGCCCATTGAGCGTGATATGGACTGGGGTTACCTCAAACAACAGCTTGGATCAAAGGGTACCCACTGGATGCAAAGTCCCAAGGAAAGGTAAGACTTGTGGTCGGGAGTGTAATTCCATACAGACTGACAAGTGATAACCGCTCAAGCGGAGGAGTCTTGATTGATAATTTTTGAATAGTACAGCGGTCTAGAAAGAAGGAAGAACCTTCAAGACCGCAGGCGACCCACAATTAACTAATCAGTCAGAAGCGAAAAGACACAATTCATTCCGAAGTAAAAAAGAGTACTAGTTAAAACTGTAGAGCAGCGGGTTTTTTACTTTTGATAAAATCTCCGAAAATAAGTCATCTTAAGAAATCTAAGTTTCCTAACAGAGAAGTTTGGTTTGATAAATTACCAAACGGGGCCCAAGGTATCTCATGATGTTAGCATCCGTCTAATGGGCTACAACGCTTCACAGATGGGAAGAAAAGCGCTGCGACTGAGGGGTTTGCAACCAATCGATTGGAGTGTTTGTTGACACAAAAGTTTCACCAGGCCAGGTGAATCCGTATGTGATTGGAGCGGCAGTTTGCAGCGAACGGGGACGATAGTTGCAATAGCAGAGACGTCAGGCATATTGATTCACCTAGCCTAAGGATGATTTTGTGTCAATTCATGACGAAATAATCTTTATGTATCCAGTTAGGTATATTTTCAGCACGTTACAATATCGACTACGGATGGACTAAAACTAAATTAGCAGAAATGCGAATTTTTATGAATGGATAAAAACCACAGTGTGCATGTCACCTGAATAAACGGTCAGTATAGAGGAGCAAAAATAAAAGATTCCCACAAAGAATAATCTGAGGCTGCATTCTGTTAATAGGCCAACGCTGCAAGCCAGATTTCCTACCGAGTCGGTCCAGCTCAAAGGGTGCAGTATCTTGAGCTTACCCTAAAACGTAAGTGAAGGACGGCAGCGGTGACTTTGCAAATAGTTTGACACAGGTCAATGGCAAAATGGTCCAAGAAAACTAACGTATCCATAGCGTTATTGCGAAAACGATGTTCAGTGTAAAAAGCACGGTGTATTTAAAGGCCCCGCCAATTGTCTGTTCCCAAAGGTCTCTGAACTCATGACTTCTCGATCGGTTCTAAGCATATTTCACGATTTTGAACATAGTGACTTTATGTCGTGACAAGTCATACCCACCATGTAGTATCGTTAAGCACACACAAGAGAATTTTCTTATAGGGATTGCCAGGAAAATACCCACCATGTGCTGGAGCACTTCCGCCGAACTACTTGCTGGAACCTGTAGTGGAGCACCAGACAATGTATTACTATCAATATCAACTAATATGTTACTTGCGATCCCGAGACTAATCTGTAACGTTTTTGTACATTTTGCGATCAATTTGCAATCGTTTAAATTAGAAAGTACTTTCAGTCAACTGGCATGGCTTCATGCGTGTGTTACCAAAAAGGAGATAATACAATTTATTTGTAAATATGAGGATAAACCTAAAGCACCCAGCTTGCACCAAGAAAAAGTGATCCGGCAAGACAGCGCTCAGTGATAGATGAGCACTGGAAATTAAATAAACAAACAAATGCTCATGTTTTCCGGCTATGAGCGAGCTAATCCGCAAGGGGAGTCGATCGCTGATTGCATACAAGCAAATTTACATTACTGTTTACTGGTTGGAATCAGCAAGAAGATATATGTCTGTGTAGAAGCATCTAATATCACTCAGGTACAAAGACCTATGTTGGAGTACGCTCGATGTATTTTTTATCGGCAAAATGTTTGTCCAGGAATTTATTAAATTGCGACACCGACTTTGCCTCAACTACGTGATTCGGAAAGTTGTTTCATACATCCACCATTCTGCGTTCGAAACAGAGTTGGTGAGCGACCCGCTTCAAATTCAGTACTACAAGTTTGTACCGGTGTCCTCGTGTGCTGCTTGGTGTGCGCAGATGCAGCAGCGGCCTCAACATGAGATAATAACTCAGATGTAATATACGGTGCATCATGATGAGGTCAACCCGCAGTCGACGATAAGCTAGGATGTGAAGCCATGGTTTCTTACATCGGTCTTCGTACGGCACACCTGGTGGCCACATGCTGCACTCGCTCAGTCTTTTCTACCTCGCCCCGGGTGATAGGACAATACGCGGGAGAGCTATACTCTAGCATTGGTCGTACTGTTGAGACGAAGAGGCGAGTGGAAATCTCTTCGGACCAATTGCTGAAGCTGCGCCTGAGCTCCCAAAGCATACGAAGGTCGTTTTGGTAAAGCCCATTCGTGTTGTCCATGAAATTAAAGTCGTACCATGAGAGTACACCGAGGACTAGCACGAAAGGCCCCAGTTTCAAATATAAATTCCGCAAACTTCCTCTCGATTTCACAATGGCCGGGGAGAAGTTAAGCCTCAGACCACTGAATTCGAGGTAAGTTGAAATCGTCCATGAGTACGAACAGCGGACGACTCATGTGGTTGTGGACATGCGGCAACCAGTGGACTGCGACATACCACGCCCACGAGCATCTCGCAGTGTCTGAGGTGAATCAAACACTATAACTGCTCACACAGACCATCAGCGCTTCGGTACATGCTCACCATCCTCCCACACAATAAAGACCTTATATAAAGCAAAACGCCACCGCGATCACTTGATAGTCTATCACAGCGAAAGCACGAGTAATCGCTGATTTTCACGTTTTGGGCTGTTACTTCAGGGTTTAACCATGTCTCAGTAAGGCCTAATACGTCTGGCCGCTGAGAGATTACAAAGTAGCACAACTCATCGCGCTTGTTCAGCATATTGCAGCCGTTAGTAAACGCTACGCGCAGGCCGCGGTAGGAACCGCTGGACGCGCCTGAAGAATCAGAAACCTGTTGATCCGGATTCGCGGAGGATATTTGTTTCTCCATCGTTCGTGCGTCGCTTTAGTTCAATCATAGCAGAGTTGAGTTACCCTCTGTCTGATGGGTCTAAGTCAGCACGCACGTGGATTTTTATGAAGAGTTTCCGTGTTGCTCTCCGTCATCAATACACCTCGTAAACATTTCGTAGTTGTTTGGGCTCATTAAGTAGAAAAAGCCTTATGTATGAGTGGAACCCGGCACATAATGGTTCGCGACTATCGCGCTTGACACAGCAGAGTGACGGTAGGGAGCAACACCGAAACTTCCAAGTTCGGATACGGTCGCAGTGATCGGAATGGCAGAGGCTGAGTTAAAAGTCAACCGAGGCCCCCATTAAGATAGCGTGTGGCAATCCAAGGCACACGGAGGTTACACTCCAGAAACCCAACATTTAGGTTTGTTGCAAAGTTGTTGGTGTTTTGTTGAAGTCACTCATGGACAAAGCCCAGAACTGATCTTAGCGGCGTTCATGCTGTATTTTCTGGTCCTTGTCCTCTCGTTTAGCCTCCCTCTCCAGTTATTGGCATGCTACTGTTGCATAATAAAAACAATGCATCACATTTAGACGAGGTCACTTCGAGGCACGCGTCGCGTGAAGTGATTGTGACACGCAATCCCAATCAGGGGCGCAGTCCCACTTTGGAGTGAATCTTGGTCAAATCGATCACTAGGACTGTGGGTGAAGCAGATGAATGTTGGTCGCTGGTTTCTCGCAACTCCGCACTCCACGATCGGCTTTGAATTTAGTCGATCTCCTCAGGTTATGGCAGGATTTCGACTCTAACCAGGAATGTTGGAACAACAGCCAAAGTCCCCCTAAATCTAACCTACTGCAAGTCGTGGCGAACAAAGTCTGTTGCAACGGTTAATGAATAAGTAGGCGAGGGTTCAGAACACTTGTTGTGTTGACTGTTTTGTCTTGTATCTATTTTTACTACGATAAAAGTGCACTGTACTGCGGTCAGGAAAAAACTCTTGCGTCAAGAGCGAAACGTTGCCCCAATGCAAACATACAAAACGACTCCGTATTCAAATTCTTCTTAACTAACACCACTAACTTGTCCATCCAAGACTTATGGTCGGATGCGCTAACATTCGTCAAGGTTTCCGTGGGAGAATAATCCGTTCGCATAGACGGTGTGCACTCTTTCTCATCGGAGTAAGTGACCTCAGATCGAACTGGATAATATTCTGAAGGAAAGTCGTCTTTCTCAGCAAAGTTTTCACCACATTCCGGTTGAACATCTTTTTCGTGAACCTGAACAGAGTGAGCACAATAAACAAGGGAATGAGAACAGAAGAGCAGAACGGCTAGTTGACGGAATAAATGGAGAAAAAACAATATAGTATAAAGGTTGGTTTAGTTCAGATCGGATGATCAACTATAATCGGAGCACTGAGATATGACCGCCCCGTGGCCTTATGTATGTAATCTCAACAGTCTATTAACTAGACACAGAGCCAGCCCCGTGGCCTTAAGGATTACAAGCATGCCTTGTAATCCGGAGATCGTTGATTCAAGCATGGGTAGGGGACCAAATGACTGTTGCTGTATAGTTAGAACACGCGCGACTGGTGGCGATTAAGCTGCAGTGAAACGTAGGGACGGCGCATTAGCGTATTGCTGATGCAAAAAATAAAGCAATTGCAGCGACAGTGGGAGAATAAAATTCACTCCGATAAGCACTGCGAAAACGAAACCTATGGTACGGAAAGACAAGGTTTAAAAATAAAAAACGATTAGCATTCCAGTGGATTTGTAGATGGCAACCGTAACACAGGCAGAGGACAGACGAGTAGCTTTCGCTACCATGAGCGTAACTATAGGTGCAGCATGTCATAAGCACATCCTGGCAGACGTGGAACCCGAGCATCATGGGTGATTTCTGGGAAGTGGGAGAGCATTAATAATATGAAATGTTTCGGAAAACCAGTAGCTAGGGTTGATAATTCAGTTGCTCATTCATTCCCTGAGCTGCGAAATTTGTTTGCAAACGTTTCATCGCCATGCGAGGCGGCCGCATCACTGAGTTGAGATGTGGAGTGTAATCTCGCCGATTGAATTGTCGATCCGTGATCGGCGTGTAGGTGAACTTTTTCGAAGGTGACGGTTTCGATCTGTGTCCCGTGATCCCCTACCCATTCCCGCTTCTGAAGAGCCCAGGCGACCCACTTGTGCATTCATATCCCCGACAAGTATCATTTCTGAGCTGGTAGCGCTGCGTAGTAGCGTGTTCAGTTCGTGGTTGAATGTATTCTTGCCAGCAGTCGGTGGGAGCATAAGCGGAAACCACAAACAAACAGCGTCCAGTGCTACTTCGTTAATCAACACTGATTGATGTCGTCAAACGGGCTGCCCACAAACAGCTGTTCAGTGGAATCCAATCAACCAACAATGACGCAGCCTTGGAGCTGAGTACAATACCTACCCCAGCTTGACCAGAGGCTGCTGCATCAGTGTCTCCGGATGCGTGCAACCAATGGCAAGAGAACAAGCCGGGTGTAGTTAATTCAACAACACCATAAGAGTCATTGATCCTAGTTTCGGATACGCAACACAAGTCAATACCCAGTGTGTCCAAGGTGCGTGCGAGTGCAGCCTACTGACCTACGTGTCTTAGAGCGCGAAGGTTGAACGCCGCCAGGGGAACGGGACAGCGTGGTCTTACAAGGGACTTTGACGATAGTCGTCTAGTGGGTGGTGCAGGAAGGTAGCTGCAGAGGGTTTGACTCCAGTGGCATTATGTCCGTTGTCAATTAAGCTGGGAACTGTAAAAGGAAGGTTAGTAATAGGGGCTAAAAGGGAAGTAAGAGAGAGGTGCAAAAGAAAGAAGGGAAAAGCCAGCAGAAGCATGTTTTCGCTTATCCGCCCTGATGTATACAGCACATAAGGCAACCCTTGATGAGCTGCGAGACGGCCGATGTAGGATGTAACTAACGTTTGGGGAAATAGTCATGGTTGTATGTGGGCTGAGATATTTTCAGAACGTCCAGACCAAGACAGCCGGACGATTAGGGTCCTCAACCAAAGCCTTTGGCTCAAAAGCCAGTGGAGGTGGCGATGAATTAGTTGAGCAGAAATGGACGCCACCCCATTTCAAATCACTAACCTGGAGGACCAGGAGATTGAGTTTGTCTGACCTCTAACCATTGACCAACCTGGTAGGAGAAGTTCTCAACGGGCCCCGGGGCACCACCCAGTATCTTTCAATGGGTCAAGGAGGTACGCAAACCGTCGCAACACGTTAAGGTTCATTCACGTTGCGACAGAAGACGATGAACACGTTTGGCTGGATACACTTGCTGACATGGCTAAGAGCCGATCTCAATGGCGTTCGTGCTGTGAATTGCTTTGTCCGTCCCCATCCCACTTAGCCTTCCTCTCCAACCATGATCTCATTACTTAGCATATAATTTTGCATAATAAATTTTTTGCTGCATAGTAGCCGGCTGATAGCTTGCCGAAACGATACCCATCCGTTGCTGGTAGCTCAGCTGACATGCAACTGTTACATTTATTTTCTTTTTTTCTTTTATGTATTGCGGCGCAGCAGCTGAGGTGTTTTCCACCTCTAATAAAGGTGTACAAAAAGGAAAGACGTTGGTGCAAGTACCAAAAGGGAACTGCATGGCAATCACCCATTCTTAACGTCTTCGCAGGTACCACAAAGAAAGCTGTGCTTGAACAGTCTAGCCAGCGCAATTGCTTTGCGATAAATCGGAATACTTGTAGTTCGAGATGACTGTTCTGGTTTTCGTTTGTTCTTCGAGTTGAACCATTGTGCTGCAGACCTTTCGTCGCCAGCCGAAGTGACATCGTCAGTGCGTCACTGCTTAGCGTGCAAGCTCGTTGAATGCGTCTTCGGCTCTTGATTGATGGGAAAGTGACGTTTGAAATTGGCCTCTTCGCTTCATAGCATGTAACCTACGGTGGTTTGTTGTTCGACCGCCGCTGCTTCCTGCCTTATGTAATGATTTCTGATCCGTCGAATTTCTTTCTTTCTCAATGGTTGGTACACTGGGTCCAGGTCTATGCTCAGGTTTATGGAGTGTTCTGTAGTAAACCACGCTTCAAGGAATCCCCTGCTTTTTCTCGTTTCTCGCCGCGCGAGAACGTCGATTTTGTCCCAATCAAATCTGTGCTCCTCTTCAGCAACATGTGCCGAGACCAGAGATGATGTGTAGTGGTTACGGCAAGCTCGCTTGTGCTCTTGTATTCTTGTAACCAATTTCCTTCCTGTTTGGCCCACATAGTTCTCGTAGTGATTGCATTGTATGCTGTAAACAACATTACTGCGCCAGAGTACCTTCAATTTATCTTTCGATTTAGACAAGGTCCTCCTAAGTGTGGCGGTTGGTATGTAGGTAACCATCAGATGATACGGTTTGAGAAATCTGGCCGTTATTTCTGATGTGTTCTAGACATAAGGCAAAGCGATCCGTTTCTTCGTTGTTGGGAGGATCAGAAGTCATTACATAAGACAGGAAACAGCGGCGGCCGAACAACAAACCATCGAAGATCACATGATATGAAAGGAAGAGGCCAATTTCAAACGTCACTTTCCCAGCGATCAAGTGCCGAAGACGCATTCAACGAGCTTGTACGCTAAGCAGTGACGCACTGAGGATGGCGACAAAAGGTCCGCAGCACAATTGCTCAGCTCGGAAAACAAACGGAAACCAGAGCGCAATTGTTTATATTGCAGTACGTTTCCGATCCATATGAACAAAAAGAGTTCGAAATTACTTGGAATACTGGTAGTCCGGGTGGCTTATTCAGTTGTTGTGATGTCCGCCGAACTGTGCAACTTAGTTACAAACGTCTTGCCCCTATGCGTGGTAGCATCGTCAGTGCAGGATACATAGCACGTAGCAGGCAAACTCATCATTGGATTTTCAATGAAGTTGCCCAGCGTGACGAACACCACAACTGAACAAAAAGAGTGTTATGACACTGCGCATGACCACCCACTCCCTTCAGTCGAACCCAACTGAATCCACCGTGGGAGTGTAAACAGTGAAACTGTGTACTAACTTGGGATAGCGATGTAGTAGCTATCGCAATGCGACCCAAATCGCTGACATAGTATTATTCGCCGTCAATAATCAACGGTTATGGCTCCATCAATGGAAAATGTGCAAGCTAGTAGATTATAGATGGCAGAAAGAGATTCTGTGAAAGATGGCAGCGGATCCGCACAACAGAACATATTATATTCTGTGCTTAGTCGATCAAGTTTACCACGAGGTTATCATGTCCAGTGGGCACTATAAAAGAAAGTTCGGTCCTCAATCCCACACTTATGCAACTGTTTGAGTGATTTTGCCGAGTCAGATGCTCCATAACGGCCCGGTTTTTCTATTACACTCTACCGTTGATTACGATCGCAACCTAGCTACCTGCCCCATCTATGTCTGTGGTAGCCTTTTTGTGAAAATGAATTCACGGAAATCGGCCAACACAGTCTCGATGTTTCGCTTTTTGTTATTACTTACTAAAATTATTTATTACTCACCTCATCCCCTTCCGATTTCGAGCGCATCGAATGACGAATGCTGATCCATTCTTGAGGAGCAACATTTAATCGCCAATGATGTAAAAAATAAAGCGAAAGAATCGCGCTGATTTTTCTAAAAACGAGCTACTCAACACATGGCCCCACCACTACTAGAATTCATAAACTCTACCTTCGGCAACTCTAAAGATCTAATAATATCAAAAGTGCTGGCAGTATTGCATGAATTACTAAGCGTTATTGATGGGTTTATGGTATATGGATGACAAGTAAGTGCCGCTTTGCCGCGAGATCGTATTTCCCGAGTAACTCGTGTTCAAGCAGCTTTGCTGGTTTAAGTGAGTATACAACGTAACCTACCCCGCCGTGAGTAGAATTTAACAGTCTACTACTATTCATGAGGAGATGAGAATGTTGAAACTTACTTCAACTCGGATTTGATTGTTCTTATTGTTCATTGCTGGAGAAACAGACTGTCTGGGTCTAGGTGGCCTACCCATAAGTCTAGAGAGACGTAAAAAAATTAAAAAAGATTAACTCAGGGAGATTTTCGTGGCCGGCACTAAAGTTATTGTATTCTCTGGCTAAGTGGGATGGTGTAAAATAAATTTAGCTAAGAGCAGTAAATGAATACTGAACCGGAATACCGATTGCTAGTAATTGTGCTAGTACACGGATAGGTGACTGATTGGACTTTTGAACCTTGCGTGACCGGTCCGATGGCGTGGGAAAGTGGAGCAGATTGACGAGGCGTCAGAAACTGATCTGAATTCGAATATCATCGAAAGAATTCGGTGAATGCTAACTAAAAAAACTTCAGCAATTTACTAAGCTAATTCAACGGATTATGAAACTCGACCGCTCCACCGGGTATCTTGGAGTCGTTCGCCATAGATGATTGTGTCCTCCTGAAACGCGATTGTATGATTCCAGTAGCGTGCTTAAACTGACATCTCCCCAACCAAGGTGTAATATTTCACCTCCCTCTCTATGTTGGCACAGAAACAGCTTCAGCAAATTTGACTGGCGTTGGTGTGGTACTAACTGGAAATGCCGACGCCACACTGATGGAGGGGTTCTCGATTGACAGCCAACTGTGGGCAGTTCGGCACCGACGCCCACGCAGGATCGACAGGTGTCGAGAGGAAAAACGTAACTTACATATCATGTCCGTGTACATTCCAACTAACCCCAATTGTAACTTGAGCAGAGACTACTATTAACGTGATCCTCACCATCAGTTTGAAAATCCGATACTGTATTTCTTCCTGGGGATTCCAACGCATGGGTAGGGTAGACATGCGAACGGCACCGCGCTCGAGGAGGGCAGCTCAGACGAAGGAGACAGACTGCACACATTATGCGAAGATACGCATATGTTTCGCTCGAACACCAACTCCAAACATACGAGATGTTCCGCAACTCGGTGTTCCCATCACCAGCACAAATAGGACCTCAAATTGATCGTATCTGAATCAGCTTCAGATGCCGGAGTAGTATGCGAGACTACAGATCAATTCGGACCGCATTTCTTGAAACAAGTCGTGCGCTGGTTTGTGCGAACATTTGCATGCAATTCGGATGGTCTCCGAAAACATTGACATGAATAAGGTAGAGATTTTTCAAATTCGGTTAAGTTATCATTCATATCCGATCCAGGTGTATGTCTGATGTCGCCAAACTCGGTCTTTCGGGGGCAAGCGTTCTATTCAGTAGAGGAAACTTAGCGAAGATTATAGCAAATCTGATCCACCTAGACATGCACTGTTAGCGAACTTCTATCAATAACATTTTTGGCATGATGACGTTCCTCCTCTGATACAGTCAAACGAACTAGGAAGAACACATCGTATAGCACACGGACACCGGCCAACCAGCGGAGCCCTGTAGATGAACGATTACGCCAGTTGCGTCCAATGACCCAGTCCATTAATGAGGTCTCCTACTGACTATTGAGCTAGTTCGGTGGATGTATCTGTGTTCAATTCAGCAAGATATTTCCATCACATCTAGCACACACGTTTCCTCAAAAAGTGTGTATCAACGACGCGCATGATGAAACAGTATGGCTCCTAAGCAATCGCTGCTCTCATTAGCATGCCTCCAGGCCTTATTTATTTTGCTGGATGAGGATGTGGGTGGTACGGTAAAGGTCACGCATCGAGCACTTTGCAACAGCAGTTATACTGTGACAATCTTCAATCACATGTAAAAGTAAATCCGAAAATGTATACCGTAACTTCTACTACCGTATGGCAACACCTGATGCTTTGAATACATCTACCTCTTAATGCTGCATTGGAAGCATTTGGGAGGTGTGTTCGGTCGAAACCAAAAGCATACATGATCATCACCAAAATCACAAGTTAGCTAGAAATAGAAAGCACCTCGGCAACTGTGCTGCAGTACAAAAGAAAAAACACATGAATAAATAAGATACTATTCATAGCATGATACAAAACAGTAACCAAACAACAAGTTATATAGTATTAGGCATCAGGAATGAGATGGTGGTTAAGGCAAGATGCTAAGCAAGGTGAGGGGAAATAAACCCACAACGTCATATCAACAAATGTATCTAAACAAACGTGTTCATCGTCCTTCGGATGTCAGCGCGGCAGTCGAAAGACACCAAACGACGCCAACTTCGAAGTGAGAGTTTTCATTCCCCTATACAACGTCAGTGGTTGGTCTTTCTTAATATTTTTTCCATCCACACCCACGGCGCGCAAGCAACGCACGTCGCGAGAGTCGATGGACTGGCATGCGCAACATGTGGCTCAACTATCGGAGCCTGGTGCGCGATATCACGGTGTTGGGCGGTTCACTAGCTCTTCCTGCACCAAATACACGACGCGAACACGCTCACTGCATACGCCTTGTTCCCAGCAGACGTGAGCTAAGCTGCAAAGGCAGCGAGGGTCGAACGCAACTAGTCTGCTTAGGTCTGGATCCTGTGGGTCACGTTTCGTATCAGTGCAAGAGGGTTTAAGATACAACTGAACTGTAAACGCAACTCGTCAGGGCGAGAGTGATGTAACGCAGGCATAAACGTCTCGATATTTGCTATACGTTTCGTGATCTCATCCTCTATTCCATAGCGCTGACATAGCTGCGTAGATACCTAAATTCCCGAACGACTTCTAGCTGATCCCCACCAAGGATCAGCACATGAGTGGGTTCCTGCCGATCTTGGAGAATTTTGCATTTCGGGAGTGCAAAGCATTGCCCAAAATGATTGACATCCGGAGCTAATTTATCCAGTGCTGCTTGGCATGTTTGGGAGCTGTCGCAGATGAGGGTAATATCGTCAGCACACTCCAAGTCAAAAATTCGATCACCTGGGAACAGCTCCATGCCTTCCAAATCGTGTCCAAAGAATGCAGTTTCCATTACTTCGTCAGTAGCCGACAACCTTGTCTCATGCCCCTGGAGATATTGAACGGCCGCGATAGTTTGCCATAAACCCTCACTCTGCCAGAAGTATGCGCATAAAGCGCTATTATGACATTTACATATATATCAGTTCCAAAGGGCACATCGAGCCACCGAATCAAAGGCACCTATAATGTTGAGCAACACTAATACCGCGCGTCACCAATAAATATGGCGTAATATGACGTAATTCGAGTCACGGTAGGCTTAATTCACCTGGATGGTTGCATTCTCCGATGAATTAAAATGACGTCGTCAATCATGCAATATTTTATAAATAGATAAGCAAATAGGAAAATAGTGCACTGGTATCACTCGAGTAAGCCGATCCGCATTCTTAGGCAACGATGGCACATGGCTAAACAGAAACCTCAGGTATACTCAGCCGACATAAGTTTTACGGAAAAAAAAGTTCAACCATTTATAGAGACGACGGAAGTTCAGCCTGTCACTCAAAGGCAGGGTGTATAACGTTGCGATATCACCGGTCTTACTGTATGGATCAGAGACGGCCAGTTGACGACAAAGATTTTAAACGTTTGACCGTGTTTGACCATCCGTGCTTTTGGAGTATTGCCCACGTATGGTGGAAACACCGAGTGAGCAATGCTGAGGTCTGCCAGTTGGTTTTGGAGCAATGTGTCACCTTAATCCATCTACTAAGCGCAGACAGAAGACAGAAATCGCGAAAGGTTAAAATTGCAATTGCTCCCTTCAGTCGAGAACGCAATACATTTAGGAAGCAAACAGAAGTGAACATGTGGAACCCAAAGTGGAACAAAATGATTAATTAAAACCAAGACAATCGAACAGATCGCTTCTGTGCACACAACACCGGGTGGTACTTCGAGATGAGTAAGGCCTCGGTGATAGCCAGTCTTGTTGGATTCCGATCGCGCAACAGTACTTTTAACGAGGTCGACTGATCTACGTGATGACGAGTCAAGAGATGACTCACAATGGACGAGGCAGGGCTGCGATTCTTCAGTTGATCCGCACCAGTCTGTTGCGCCAATGCTTTCCGTAGCCAATTTAGGAGGTGCCCCGTTATCTCTAGGGTTAGTCTATGGTCAGTCCTGCTAATATAAACCTCACCGCAACTGCAGATGAACTGATAGACTACCTTTGAGGCCGCATTGTCTGACAGGTCTTTCGGATGGTCGTTGAAAACTAGTCGCCACAACTGGGCGAGAACGCAGATCTGGTCTTATGCCTGATGTCATTGGCTAAACGATCTCCTTTAAACGGCAGAAACAACTAAACAGCCTTTTCTCTGCAGTATGAACCGTTGGTTTCTCGTTGGGCCGTTGCCTATGAACTTGTAGGAACCTACTCAGGTACCCATTCGACAATATAGTCTTAGGTAAACATTCCTCTTCAGTCTCAACCGTGTCTATAATGCAAATTCGTTTGGCGCTGTAGAAGAGCTCACTCGAGTGTTTACTGAATCTTAATCGCTTACGTTGACTAGACCATGTTCTGCGTGTGTAAGTTGACCTATTTCTTCCATTTGCATTATACGCCGCGGCTGCATCAAGTTGGACGAACCCACGACGTAGTCAGTCCATGAGGTGGCGCAAAAGTATGAAGAAGTTGACCGACAGGCTTGGTCAGGCTGGTGCATGCCGTCTTCGTGGATGGGAGCCCCGGGAAGGTCTACGCAAGTGGTAAACAGCATTCCTGCTTTCAATTTCTTGAATTTATCTGTAAATTTTCATTCCAAGCCGAGTACACTGTTAAAAAACAAAAAAAGATTTATTTGCTATAACAGAAATGCCAATGTCTCTACCTTACAGAATACACTCCACGGATCGGAGAAATATTCTCCGATGTTACCTAGCACGTCAGGTTACACCGTTAAAAGCTAATGATGGTTTGCAGTAATGTCCAGTCTGGATCGTACGAATTATACCTAGATGTTTACAGATGGATCATCACGGTCGACTCTCAGTCAGCAGGCATGGGCTAGTCTGTTTAGACTTTCTGGGTCTCATCAGTGGTGCGCCTTCCAGCGAACCCCTGCAGGGCTTCGCTCTCATGACTTCCGGATGCCAGCAGCTCGTGCTACT